CAGCTAATTAGCATATATTTGCATTTTTGTGTACCATCCTCATCCATGCAGTTAATTAGCATATATTTGCAATATTTTCATGTACCCTTCTTATCCATGCAGCTAATTAGCATATATTTGCATGATTGTTGTGTCTACACCCCATCCATGCAGTTAATTAGCATATATTTGCATGATTTTTGTGTACCCGCCACATCCATGCAGCTAATTAGCATATATTTGCATGATTTTTGTGTCTACACCCCATCCATGCAGTTAATTAGCATATATTTGCATGATTTTTGTGTACCCGCCACATCCATGCAGCTAATTAGCATATATTTGCATGATTTTTGTGTATCCACCCCATCCATGCAGTTAATTAGCATATATTTGCATGATTTTTGTGTACCCGCCACATCCATTAGCATATATTTGCATGATTTTTGTGTACCCGCCACATCCATGCAGCTAATTAGCATATATTTGCATGATTTTTGTGTCTACACCCCATCCATGCAGTTAATTAGCATATATTTGCATGATTTTTGTGTAACCGCCACATCCATGCAGCTAATTAGCATATATTTGCATGATTTTTGTGTATCCACCCCATCCATGCAGTTAATTAGCATATATTTGCCTGATTTTTGTGTACCCGCCACATCCATGCAGCTAATTAGCATATATTTGCATGATTTTTGTGTACCCGCCACATCCATGCAGCTAATTAGCATATATTTGAATGATTTGTATGTACCCTCCATATCCATGCAGCTAATTAGCATATATTTGCATGATTTTCATGTACATAACCCATCCATGCATGCAGTTAATTAAGTAACATATAATTGCATGATTTTTGTGTACCCACCTTATCGAGCTGGATACAAGGCCTGCTGTGTGAGTGTGAGTCAAACTCCCAATATCTCTTATGCTAGACAGACATTATGCCACACATTGAGTACAAAGTACAAAATATATATTATGCAGCAGTACATACATTTTGTATGATCATCAATTAATGAAGTTTAATGACCTTACTTACAAAATGTAAGTAATAACTGATAGGCACAGTTATTTTTTTTTTACCACTCTTGATAACACTATAATAATTTTCGAACACATCATCATCCTTTCCATCTATTTCGATTTTGAAGGAATCCATTCTTTTTTCTGATCTATAAAATGACAGAAGAACACAGTAAATGATGCTATAAACAACTTCTCTTTTAAAAATGTATGAGAGTAATACTTTTTTTTTTTTAACAAAAATAATAAACATCATGATCAAGATTTAAAAACTGTAAGAAAAGTGCTGTTTTGAAGTTAAATTGTGTATAAACCCCACTGCAGCAATTACAGGCACTGATTTGACGCTGAAGTAGTGCTAGATGTTGATAACTTACTACAATAGGTTACACACTTTGTTTTCAAATTTACGTAAGTTGTAACTAGGATTATAAACATCGGCTGCAAATCAGAGGAATGATTGACAGGTATTGCCCACAATGTTTTTTATTTTTGCTACAAAGTCAGGTACACCTGGACTTTGAGGCACGTCTGTCTTTCATTCACTTTTGGTTGTTCATCGTGTTGATTTTGCATTTGCCCAAGTTGTTTAAGCACCACGATGGAGAAGCAAAGAATCAAAAAACCAGTTAAAGTGAGAACAAGAGTGGTCGATTTGTATTTATTTGTGGACTTTCGAAATGGTCTTTTAAAGCTGACAGCTCATAATATCGTCAAACAGTTTGTTACCACAGAGACTATCCTGCCAGGAAAGCGTAAGAGC